TGGCACCTACCCGTGCGGACTCACAAGAGGTCCTACCACCAGTAAACTGTTTGAGGAACAAATGAAATAAAAAAATAGTTTTGCTTTTACTCCTGTTGAATGTCTTAAAAGCTATTTTCCTAAACTTAATTGTTTGTTTCTTTACTTAACTTTTCTATTAGGTTTATATAAAATTAAAACTTTTGAGATGATTTTTAACCAAAGTGAACTCGAAAATTCCTACATGTGTGAAGGATTGATGACAGTATACGAGTAATCGAAACCCATGCATCAGCCCGCTGAGTTTCTCGCCGGATCTTCTCAGCGGGTCGCGATTCCGATCCGGTAGTAGATTCAGTCGCGAAGCAATTGCTCTTGAGTTGTTAGGTCTCCTTCGGAGGTGCTCGGGCAGCTGTTAGCAAATCCCAGCCCTCCTGACTGAGCCTTTGCTCGCCCACCTGTCCTGGTGAAACTGGAAAGGCCTTCGGGCCACTAGTAAAATTTCAATCTAAAAAAAAAAAAACAGACAGTACAATCATTTTATTAGTGTGGACTAATATCCTGACCAGGATTAATAACCGCATAAAACCATTTGTTTTATCTATAGTTAGCTTTGCTATGAAACTGTTTTTTGTATTAAACATTTTCAGTTTTTTATTTATTGCTTAGACAGGAGAACGAGCACTTTTCCCGCGTGGTGTACAGTGGTCACGGGAGTCCATAGACTTCACTACTTAAATGCATCTCTGTTACGCCGGTAAGAGAGCCATCTGTCATCAAATAGCAGAAACGAATACCAAAAGAACTAGTAATATCGAGAACGCTCGAAAAATGTAACGCCATCTATTATCAAATAGTGGAAACACACATCGAAACGACTCGACCTATCGGGAATGTTCTAGGTAATTGTAGATTTGTCGTGTTAACTATAAATGCGTTGCAGATATGACACGAAGGCATTTAGTACTTAAAGCGAAGCAGTGAAGCGAAAGAAGTGAATTGAGAATGTGTTCCTTAAGTGTTCTAAGTGTTTAATGGAGTTTTCATTTATACCGGTGTACAAGTTTTCTTTATCCCGAATCCTGGGCGTAACAACCCTCCAAACCCAATAATAAGGATAAGGAATATACAGGGTGGTGCACACAACTTATGCATTCATATAGTAGAGCAGTAATCGCCATTGGTGAAATAGTCAGATATTCTTAAAACTACTTATAACTGATTTACAACATTAATATTATTAGCACTGTATGCTAGGTCAATCACCTTGTAAAATGCATAAAAGCTCCATGTGTGGCACGCTTGTAGGTACAATAACCTTTTTTATGGGTAAATTTGTAAAATAACGGTTTCGCGACACTCATCATGTATGCACAGAGGTAATAACCCTGCGGATCATCTGTGGACGTTGTTATGCAGTAACGAACCAACAATCTCCCAACCAAACTTCATTCGTGAATAGACCAGCTCACGCCAGGATAATAGACATGGAGAATAAAAAGTCTAAATAAAATAATGAAGCTGTTAGCAAATACTACCCGATGTTAACCTCAAAAATTGTAACTTTAAGGCGAGATTAAATTATAAAGCTTGTTTTAATTATCAATAGTGATCACGCTTATGATACCGTTAGGTTATGTACATTCGATCCGGTAGCAAACTCATTCGCGAAGCAAGTGCTCTTGATGTTGTTAGGTCTCCTTCGGAAGCGCTCGGGCAGCTGTTAGGTAATCCTACTCCTAGCTGAGTCCATGGTCGCCCATCGGTCCTGATGAAACTAAAAAGGCCTCCGGGTCACCAGTAATCCTTCAACTATAAAAATAAAGTTATGTACTGTTTTCTAATGTTAATTGTGTTTTGGTGTACAATAAAGCATGTTCTCCCTCTCTATGTACTATAGATAAATTACAGAGTATATACCATCGACGTAGAGGCAAGCTTTAAATATAAAGTAAAATTTAAATTAAGGACCTATTTACGACACATATCGTAATGCGATGGGCGAATTAAAAAAAAATGAAACGGGAAAAAAAACCCGAATTAATGAAATACAATAAGATTAATGCATAACAGTTACCATTTACATGAATCAGTCGAGAACAGAACGTGATTCACACTATCTAAGGTCAAATAAAACTGCGGAGTTTGACACGACTTACGCATGTTTGTATTGAACATCTGTTCGTCACAGAACTATTGATCGCGACGCAGAAATTATTATATACAACTCTTAATCACATTTCTTTCAACTTTATAGTTAGTTGGAGCAACCTCCGAGTCCAAGGATCTCTCCGAAGTCCCTACTTTGGTTATATCTGTGGTTTATGCTGCATTCTCAACGGAAATGCTCTTTTTTGAGATAACAAGGCCTTTGATTGAACGATATTACTTTAAGGCCGAAATAGATGTGTAGAGTGTAGGTATTTACCCTTCTTCTTTAACCCGAGTCCACCCAATGCTGAGTGTAGGTCTTTTCGAATGCGCCCCATATCTACCCTACAGGATTTCTTAATCACATTTTTTTCACTTTTATAGTTAGTTACGGAGCAACCTCTGGGTCCATGGCTCTCTCCGAAGCGCTCACCCTGCTGGTTACAATGTCAGGGCTCCATCAGATGATCCTTATCTACTAATCTAAATTAATTACAAAATTCTTCTTCTACATCGTTTCCTCATTGCTGAGGATCGTGACCACATGTGACGTTCTTCCACAGTGTTCGGTCATGGGTGGCATGGAACGCATGGTACAGACTACCGCCAACCGCTTCCTTTACCATATCTGACCATCTAGCTGGTGTTCTGCCCACGGCACCCTTGCCCTCTATGCGTCCCTAATTATGAGCTTCTCCAATTCATGTCTGGGAGACCAAGTGCTTCTCTTGCTAGATCTGACCATCTGGCTGATGTTCTGCTCACGACGCGCTTGCCCTCTATACGACCCACAATTATGAGCTTCTTTAATTAATGTCCGGGAGACCGAATTATGTGTCCGAAGAAGCTAAAGACACGCTCAAGACAAGCTCATAACACGTTCCCGGCAAATGGCAGAAAGCCTTTTTCCGATGTTACTTCCCTTAGAATAAGGATAATAAGAAAATAAGGCTTACTAAATTTACTTTTGACAAGGACATGTAGGTATTCCTTCCCATCATTGTCAACGATCACTGATTTTAAAAACCGCCATGAAACCTGATCGGATAAGCATTCAAAATTTGAAAGAAAAGCTTGTTGACACATGAGCGCGCTTTCTCAAATAACTGTTTTGAATCAACCCACTTTAAATTGTAGGTATCTATTAGATTATGTTTCAAACTGATAATTCTATGTGTCAATCATATTGATTACAAGATTAATCTTCGGATATATGAAGTAAATAGTGGTATTCTTTAAATGCAACTAATTAGTATGCTTGTCGTAAATTTAAACAAAACATAAACTTAATATTAAAAATGTTCGTGTAATAATAATTATAATTCATAATTGTGTCACAAAAATAAACCTCTGTGCTCAAATCAATTAATTAAACATTAAGACAAATTAATCTGTGGGTGCGTCATGTGAGTGCAAGTATTCAGAAATTATTTTAAAGTTAACGTCCATCAAATTACTAGCGTCGAATACAATGTATTAAATATAGCGATAATAAAAAGACGGCGTATTTTTTTATGGGATTATAGATTAAAAATATAAACGGACTCCAATTATTCGGTATGGATAATGCGTCTAAATGTTGGCAGTGGCATTCTGGATGGCATAAAGTGTAAATTTGTCTTTGACAGGCGACCGTACTACGGTCGATAGGATGTTATGTGGTCACTGCTCATGCACATCAGCAATGTTAGGAGGCATCGCCAGGCCGCTGCCAGACTGCTAGATTTATGATAAAGGTAGGTAAAAAATAATAATTAATTGTCTTTAAAGTTCGTTTACGGACGATAGTTTTACGTGATAACCTCCGTAGCAGAACTAACTATTCAAACTACTAGGCTCTGACGTCACACACTTGGACCGATCGTGCCTCTCTATTGTTTGTTCCGCGCTCTCGCTTGCACGCTCAGGCTCGGGCGGAACGTGACACATTTTCGTGGGTACAGCGGTGTTCATTGATTTATTAGACATTATCACGTCAAAACAAATTCTAATTTTGTTTGTCTATTGAGAATTAGCTCAACATCACCCAAAACACGTCATTACGGATCTTCCCGATCTATTAACGGTGCTTTTAGGTACCACAAACACCGGTCACCGCCCTCATCGAACCCCTCGCTTGCGACGAAGGGCTCGACGAGCACAGACACAGCTCAGTGAGTTTCTTGCCGGATCTTCTCAGTGGATCGTGTTTCCGATCCGGTGGTAGATTCTGCGAAGCACTGTTCTTGCTAGGGCCAGTGTTAGCAACACTCCGATTTGAGCCTCGTCAGCTCACCTACACATTAGGGCGAACCTGAAATAGTCTCTCAAGACTATCAGCATAGGTAGGGAAGAAAAAAAAAGAGAATTAGTCATCCATCGGATAGTGTATCGAAAATTGACAATAGCTTTAAGTAGGCGTCTGAAATTATTGTTCTAAGATGTTTTAAGAATAAGTAAATAATAACATTCAGTAGTAGTAGCAGTATCCGCATATTGTCCGACCATGTCCCTTCGCAAAGCTTCTCTAACTTTAGTGATTTAATAAGTGATTTTTTACTGGTGGTAGGACCTCTTGTGAGTCCACACGGATAGGTACCACCACCCTGCCCATTTCTGCCGTGAAGCAGTAATGCGTTTCGGTTTGAAGGGTGGGGCAGCCGTTGTAACTATACTTGAGACCTTAGAACTTATATCTCAAGGTGGGTGGCGCATTTGTGTCGTAGATGTCTATAGGCTCCAGTAACACTTAACACCAGGTGAGCGGTGAGCTCGTCCACCCATCTAAGCATTAAAAAAAAAGTGGACAAGCTTTCGATGAAGGATCCCACAACTTCTCCGGCTACACTAGACATAAACAAGCAGATAAGTGCCGGTATGTTTTAGTGGACATGACTCAGAATGAGTACGGAACGACCAAACAGCGTTTTGTTTTAATTCAGCAAGGAGAACCAGTCGTGATCAACACTAGGAGCTGCGCGCACGTCTCGCTAACAATGAAGTTAATGGTAACGTACCTACAGATATGTTTATTAGTCTCTAATAGTTTTTAATTCATTATTAATTGATTCAAATGGTTGGTCACGGACTAAATACCTACTTGTTATTCACGGTAATACCGTTATGTTAATGAATGTACAACTTCCACGATGAAGGAACAGGAAAGAATAGCTTTGAGATTTCGATTTAAAACCGTAAATGCTATGTTTAATACGTAGATAATGAGGTAGTTCGGTACTTTGAAATATTTTTTTTTTTGCGGATACCAATGATTTTTGAAGCTTCAAGAAAGTCGATGTTACAGTTCAGCTGTCTGAAGTTACTTCTTGTTTCTTTTTCATTTTTGATCCTTTAATTTTACGTCAAATCCACTAATCTAGTATTAAATCGAAAAATACATGTTTGTGTCCTTGACCTCTATATTGTACAGACGTCGTCTGTAACGTTTGGGCAGTTTTTCTACTTCAGAGAAATTATCTGCTATGTACCATAATTGAACGATAGATGGCGCGCAGCTTGCCTTTCAATAAGCCCACATATTTATTACATATAACGAAAGTCACAGCACAGCCAAATATGGTAAAGAGAATGGCTTTTTTTAAGACTCTATCACGAGATAATTTGTGTATATGTTTATGAATGTATTCACTAAAACTCTAAGATACAATTTTTTTCTTAATGTCTTAAAAATTGGATTATTAAAATTAAATATTAGCCTGCGCGATGTGTTTGCTCATATTTCATATTTTCGTTTATTTAATCATACCATAAATAAATTTACACAGCTAAATCGATACGCCGCGCAGACGTAGCGTGCACACAGCATTTTAAATTGCATTCATTTTAATATTAAAAACGCGTGGCACTCGGAGACTGCCGCGGTAAAGCTACACACATTTTTTTTCAACTTATGCAATTATAATTAGACAATAATAATTTACTATTAAAACAATATCAAAATAAGACCACGCTATATTTATAAACATTACAAAACTCAAAACATTAACTGTCCCCCTCACACTCATAAGGTAGACCGCGCGAGAGAGATATGGGCAGACTTTTCATGATGCGCATGCAGTGCGACGTCACGCCGTGAATGTGTTGAACGCGAGCTACATGGTGGGGTGTTAGGTTTTATTTTCGTTACGGAATTTCTTGATTCGGTCGCCGTACTCAAAGCCCGCGATAAAAGCTATGCAATAGCTTAAAACGCAAATTATGATCTATATAATTCCCTTTCATTAAGTCAACAAACAGTTTATAAAAATTTTGACGTTTTTGTAAATTATATCGGTATTGTATTAAATTTGTTCTTATATTTTGTCTGAATTTGAATTTCAAACAATGAACTGAATGTGTTGACGCTCCATGCTTTCGATCCAAAGATGAAGCACTCAATATAAAACATTTTTTATTGCATAGATGGGTGGACGAGCTCACAGCCCACCCGGTGTTAAGTGGTTACTGGAGCCCATGGACATCTATAACGTAAATGCCACCACCCACTTTGAGATATGAGTTCTCAGGTCTCAGTATAGTTACAGCGGCTGCCCCACCCTTCAAACCGAAAAACATTACTGTGTGGGTGACTCACATGTATTTATATACATAGCAGAAATAGGAGGTACCTAACCGTGCGGACTCACGAGGGGTCCTACCACCACTATGCAGACATTTTGTCCAGTATTATATAGCAGCTGTCCTACCAATCGAAACAATAACTGCATCGCGGTAAAAATTCGTGGAACGTGGCACCTACCCGGACGGGCTCAAAATACGTCCAACTATATACCAGTAGGTAGTTTAATTTTTTTATCTATATATTTATTTAACAACGTTTTATATTTTATTTTTTCTTCCGCGAACATATGAAATACGTAATTAATTTGAAAAAGTACGAGATGCGTACACGGGCCCAATCGCACGCATCACACTATACCAGAACAACGGGCGTATTATTCTGAATATGATTATCTGATTCAAATTAAGAACGCCTAGCATCTTACTGCAGCGCCATCTATCATTTGAGGCCAACAACTCTCGTTACAGCTGTTCGCCGCTGTCCTCTGCGTGATCCTGTGGCTTGGAGCTTCGGTCCCCATCAACATGGAGCGGAGGCTGGTCAATCGTCCGCCACGGGACGAGGTGATGGGTCTATCTCGGCCGAAACGACATCAAATTAATGCACCCGTCAAAGGAAGACAGAGTAAGCATCGATTGTTTTAAAAAAAAAGGATTTATGACCTGGTAGCTAAGACCTTTAGGTCATGTCTTGTTTTAATGGGTTTTTTTTATTGCTTAGATGGGTGAACGAGCTCACAGCCCACCTGGTGTTAAGTGGTTACTGGAGCCCATAGACATCTACAACTTAAATGCCGCGAACCACCTTGAGATATAAGTTCTAAGGTCTCAAGTATAGTTACAACGGCTGCCTCACCCTTCAAACCGAAACGCATTACTGCTTTACGGCAGAAAATAGGCAGGGTGGTGGTACCTACCCGCGCGGACTCAGAAGAGTTCCAACAATAAGCCACCATTATCCTCTGTGTTCATTTTCGGAAGCGGTCTCCTGACACCCTGTATTTCAAATGACAGGTCCTCACAGACGCGGCGGTATAGAACATATGTTAAGGAAAGGCGAATATGTGTGCGGCGATAAGATTTGTCGTTTGAAGCCTGGAGAGGAGCCCGCGGGCTGCAACGGCATCTGCCAGTTCCCCATCGACCCAATGCATTACGACGGGCAGCCACAGAGGCGGTTCGGGCAGACGATCAACGCAAAAGAACGGTTTTAATTATATCCATTTTATTCATGTGACAGCCCTGGCATTAGAAACTATTGTATATTAAAAAAAATGACTTTATTTTTTAATATGTACATAATAATATGTATACATTCCTAAGTTTAATACGAGAAAAAGATTTATTTCCCGACTAGCTGACCCGGCAGACTTCGTAGTGCCTAAATCGATAAATAAAAGACCTAAACTTTTGTATAAAATAAACTTAAAACAAAAGGAATCCGTCCGACGGGGGACACATCAAAGGAAAAACAAAATTGTTATTTTTATTTAATTCCGAGCATTTTTATATTTATCTACCTTTTAAACCTTCTCTAGACTTCCACGAATAATTCAAGACCAAAATAAGCCAAATCGGTCCAGCCGTTCTCAAGTTTTAGCGAGACTAACAAACAGCAATTCATTTTTTTATAGATTAGTTAGACGTAAGTCTTAAATGATGCAACTCTTGGTTTGCTTTTATTGTTGTTAACGTAAGAGCCAGTGCAGCTCCGATTGACACCATTTATTTAAATGTATAAATTTATATATTTAACTTAAATGTATATATTTAAATGTATAAATATAATTAAATTAGAAATTATTTCTTTGCAGTTTTATTTTTAAGGATTGAAGTGATTTTTGTTTCCCTCCCCGACCCCTCACCCCGATCGGGCCCCATCGCCGAGGCTGGAAGTCGGTCAACGTAGAACGCTACCATTTTTAATGAAAAATTCAGTTTTTAAAACTAATTTACTTAAACTACTTAAAAAAACTAAAAAAAATCTATTTCTAAATTTAAAGTTTCGGAAACGCGCTTTCCATTTTTTAAAAAATAATTTCAGCTCGAAAGGGGGCACGCCTTGAGGTCCCTGGACATCACGTGTCGCGGCGCAGGCAGGGCGGGCTGATGAAGAGCGAACTCCCTTCACCCAAATAAAACACACTAATCGAAGTCCATCAGCTATTTATATCGCAAGAACGTTTCCTCCAGGCTTCCTCCCATTTCTTCTGCGAGGTCTTGAAGGCGGCGACGTGGAGCTTGTCGGCGATCAGGCGGCCGTATGCGGAGCCATTTAGTAGGTTACTCTTCTCGGAGATTTCCGTCATAATCTTGAGTTTCTGTTCCATGGAGGCGACGCTGAAGACTTGCTCGAAGGCCCTTGAGCCGTGCTGTGACAGCGCCAGCTGCTGGTAGCAGCCCTGCAAACAGACACATACAACTGACTAACTGTAACAGTTTTAAGCTATTGCATAGCTTTTATCGCGGGCTTTGAGCGCGGCGATTGAATCAGGAAATTTCGTAACGAAAATAAAACCTAACACCCCTACTCCGCCTACCATGTTTTAGTCGTCGTGGCCTAACGGATAAGACGTCCGGTGCATTCGTATCGAGCGATGCACCGGTGTTCGAATCTCGCTGGCGGGTACCAATTTTTCTAATGAAATACGTATTCAACAAATGTTCACGATTGACTTCCACGGTGAAGGAATAACATCGTGCAATAAAAATCAAACCCGCAAAATTATAATTTGCGTAATTACTGGTGGTAGGACCTCTTGTGAGTCCGCACGGGTAGGTACCACCGCCCCGCCTATTTCTGCCGTGAAGCAGTAATGCGTTTCGGTTTGAAGGGTGGGGCAGCCGTTGTGACTATNCTACCGTAACCAGGAATAGCGGGGCCGCCGGGGACTAGGGGCCTGGTTCTGCGGTGTGCAATCATTTTGGAGGTTTATTAGCCTACTGGTACCACGCTGGCTAGACGGGTTGGTACAGGGTTTAATTTCGAGTTTTCCTTCTCTCACACTAGTAAATATTGTGTGTTATGCTTTCCCTTTTGTCGCCTCTTACGACTCCCCTGGGGTGGTAATGGGGGTGGTGACAAAAGTATTCTAATGCCGTCACCACACGGCAACATTACAATTATGGTCATGTATTTGTCAATTTTGGCCTCAAATGACGTCACACGTAAATGTACGCAGTAATTTATACGTCAAACGTCTTCAAACGAGGCTCGTGGAGAGTATTAAACGGTAGGCAGCGGCTTGGCTCTGCTCCTGGCATTGCTGAAGTCCATGGGCGACGGTAACTACTAACCATCAGGTGGGCGTGTGCTCGTCTGCCAACAACGGCAATAAAAATAAAAGTCAATCGTTGTTGCCCCGAGCACGACCACCAGCTGTACACGCACGCTAGACACATAAACAAATATTAAGGCAGTTCCACAAGTCCAGACTCACTTTAAGCTTCCAAATGAGTTTGTCCCTGGCCTTGACGCCGACGAAGGGTCCGGTGCAGAGAGCGTCCGCCACGTGGCAGCCCTTCGCGTCGCGCAGCACCACCAGCAGCTGCTCCGCCGGCAACTCCAGCAGCGCGCCCGTCGCTCGCCCCGGACGCTGCGGACACGCACAGGGAATAATCACTCGATAGTTCGAGATGTTGAGTTCGTTGTAGGTGTCTATGGGTGAACAGACAAGGATGTATGAGATTAGATCCCCTTGCCTTTCTTAATAAGGAAAATATGTACTAAAACAATGTCTATGGGCGACTTTTTGGCGGAAACGCGAGGAGTGAGGTTGTGTGATTTGTTTTATTTTGTCTATTTAGTGTTTCTACAGATTTAAATGTGTAATAACGGTGGTTTATTAACTATTTAATATCTGTGAAAGTGCACAAATATGGAAAAATGAAACAAAGCCGCTGGACGTAACTTCACGGGATCCTCCAAAAAGTCCACTGAAAAAATCTCAGTACATGACCACCATTTTACCGAGATTATATTTCATCCTATATCATCGCATATCATTTCATAATATCATATTTCATAAAAAATATATATAAAAGATTAGGCTTTACGGTATGATACCTTTGCCTTTCCATTTGGAAAAATAAAACTACTACTACTTAACGTCAGGTGGGCTGTGAGCTCGTCCACCCATCTAAGGGTAATAAAAAAAACCTGAAAATGACATACCTGAAAATTTAGAATGGTCTGTAGTATCACCGATCCGTGGACGTTAATGAAGTACTCCTGGTCCAGCTTGTCCAGCTCGATCCTGTCAATCGGCACCAGCCGGAGACAAGCTATCGGGAAGTATTTCTGCCTACCCTCCTCTGTACACTTCAATGCCGCTTCTAGTGTCTGTGGAAAAACACAACTCTATTTACCTCCTCGTGTCTGTAAGTATATAGTGTGCATAAAAGTACTAAACACCTAAAGCATTTAATAATTTAAAAAAATCTTTAAATGCAAACAAACATACATATGTCGGATGAACCATTGACGCCTATGATCATGAACATTGATCACTCTGGATCCAAACCAGCCTTTAGGTTAAGGTAGTTTTGATGTTAATTTTGTTTTTTTGTTTTTATTATTATTGCTTTTTTTTTAGTTCGAGATTGTAGTTATAATTTTTTTAAATTCTAGTATAAATGAAATGTTAATGAGTATAATATGGGTGCAAAATCTGAAGTAAATGAAATAAATAAATAAATGCCAGAGTAGCCAGAGAGATGAAACCTATCACTCAAGAATACTTTCTGACCTGATTGAAAATTTCGTTCAAGAAAAAAATGTTTTATTTACTTATTGCATAGATGGGTGGACGAGCTTACAGCCCACCTGGTGTTAAATGGTAACTGGAGCCCATAAACATCTACAACGTAAATGCGCCACACACCTTGAGATATAAGTTCTTAGGTCTCAAGTATAGTTAGAACGGCTGCCCCACTCTTCAAACCGGAACGCATTACTGCTCCACGGCAGAAANGTTCAAGAAAAAAATGTTTTATTTACTTATTGCATAGATGGGTGGACGAGCTTACAGCCCACCTGGTGTTAAATGGTAACTGGAGCCCATAAACATCTACAACGTAAATGCGCCACACACCTTGAGATATAAGTTCTTAGGTCTCAAGTATAGTTAGAACGGCTGCCCCACTCTTCAAACCGGAACGCATTACTGCTCCACGGCAGAAATAGGCAGGGTGATGGTACTCACCCGCGCGGACTCACAAGACGTCCTACCACCAGTAAATCCTTCATCTATATCCACTCACATTAACAAACTGCATTTGTTTCACTTTGATCCTGAGGCAGGCTTTGGCGAGGGCTACCAGCACCCCGGTGTTCCCGCAGGCCAACAGCGCGTCGAACTTGTCCGACAGCTCATCAAACATTGGTTCAAACTGAAAACAAAATCCAATTAATCCCTCGTGTAAAATTAGTTCTTACCACATGCATAGACTGTTCTCTATTGCTCTGGGGTAGACCGGTGATGATAGACTTATGAAATAAAAGGTGGACTGTAATACAATAATCTATATATATAAAAATGAATTGCTGTTCGTTAGTCTCGCTAAAACTCGAGAACGGCTGGACCGATTTGGCTAATTTTGGTCTTGAATTATTTGTGGAAGTCCAGAAAAGGTTTAAAAGGTAGATAAATATGAAAATGGTCGGAATTAAATAAAAATAACAATTTTATTTTCCCTTTGATGTGTCCCCCGTCGGACGGATTCCTTTTGTTTGTTTTAAGTTTATTTTATACAAAAGTTTAGGTCTTTTATTTATCAATTTAGGCACTACGAAGTCTGCCGGATCAGCTAGTATACAATAAAACTGTTGCCTTTCTGTACTGTTACAACGGAATGGATATTACAAAATTATAATTCCTACTGGTGGTAGGATCTCTTGTGAGTACTGTATGTGGTACTCTTGTGAGTCCGCACGGGAAGGTACTACCACCGTGCCTATTTCTGCCGTGAAGCAGTAATGCGTTTCGGTTTGAAGGGTGGGACAACTGTTATAACTACACTGAGACCTTAGAACTCATATCCAGTCACCGTCGACGCCCTAGACACGTCCTTACGGATCCATCAGATCCAATAACCATTGCATTAGACGCCTTCAGCTCTAACACTAAGAGCAGGCTTAGGGACCTCGGTAACCGTACTCGTCGAACTCGACAAAGAGTTCGCCGTGCAACTTAACCCATGCATCAGCCCGCTGAGTTTCTCGCCGAATCTTCTCAGCGGGTCGCGATTCCGATCCGGTAGTAGATTCATTCGCGAAGCAGCTACTCTTGAGCTGTTAGGTCTCCTCTCGGAGGCGCTCGGGTAGCTGCTAGCAAATCCCACCCCTCCTGGCTGAGCCTTTGCTCGCCCACCTGTCCTGGTGAAACTGGAAAGGTCTCCGGGCTACCAGTAATCGTTTATCATAAAAAAAAAACTCATATCTCAAGGTAAGTGGCGGCATTTACGTTGTAGATGTCTATGGGCTCCGGTAACCACTTAACACCAGATGGGCCGTGAACTCGACCATCCAACTAGGCAATAAAAAAAAATAAAAAAACACATAAACTATCTAAAACAGGTCAGCAAGGTCATATCCATGAGTTCCAGTAAAGACAAACTGATGATAGTATATGACTATATACTATCATCAGTCAGTATATCTTCCTTTTAGATAGATATAGTCTTCCTACCAATATAAGTCAAAATTGAATAACCACTATTTCATTCATTTTTTTTATTTATTGCTTAAATTGGTGGAGGAGCTCACAGCCCACCTGGTGTTAAGTGGTTACTGGAGCCCATAGACATCTACAAAGTAAATGCGCCACTTACCTTGAGGTATGAGTTCTAAGGTCTCAGTATAGTTACAACGACTGTCCTATCCTTCGAACCGAAACGCATTACTGCTTTCTTTAAATTTTCAGTAATAAAATAAAAAGTGGTCACCTCCTCTTTGATATCACAGTTGTCGATCAGTCTCTGGACGGTGAAGTTCAACATGGGCATGGTGGCGAGCTGGCCGAGGCGGTTGATGAAACACTTTGCGTATATCTGGGTATACATCTTCTTTTTAGCCACAAACAATGCAGCTTCTAACAGCCTGTAAATTTTATTTATAAAATAATATAACGAGAATGTCTCAACCGGTCCAGTGGAAAGTACTTTATAGTTATATACACTTCTACAGTTTAAATTTACCTGTTGTTTTTGAAGTGAAAACTTCTTTAGAATCGTTGCGATTTCAAACCGGATGCAACGGAAAAAACGACAGGTAAGAGACACAAATACAAAAATGTGTAGGATGAAGCCAGCAAAGAACGAGACAGAAATATACATACTATTTAATACAGCGCCATCTGTGAGATTTTTTAATACTAACGTGTGTATGAAAGCTCTTGTAGTGAATTTTAATTTAGGATTATACGTGAAATTAAAATATCAATTCACAGAGGGCGCTACCTTACAATTATTTACTAATGACAAAATTTTACATATACTTAAGACGTTTAGGATAATTGTATTTTAATTTTGGAAGGTTTCACTTCTACCACGTGTGAATTGTACACATTTTTTTTTTTATTGCTTAGATGGGTAGACGAGCTCACAGCCCACCTGATGTTAAGTGGTTACTGGAGCCCATAGACATCCACAACGTAA